CCATAGTCTATTAAACCTAAAAGATTAACTTCTGGTTGTGTATTCAAATGTATTTCTATTCAACTTATCATTTGTTCTATAAAACATTTTACAGGCTACAACAAAATTCAAAATTTATTTTAAAATTAGTATGAAAATACTTGTACACAAATCTGTATCACAGCAACTCTTTCTCAGATGGGTGAAGAGAGCTATATTATGTGATGTTTTTCTATCCAAATGATAACCAGATTTTAATCTGCATCATTTATTTCCACTAGGATTTAGCAGTGGGTCCAGTAGCTGTGCAGGCACTACTTTAATCTTGATAGACATCTGCATTTGTCTTCTATCTTATTATTGTATTATGTTTCACTAGTAAGAGAAGGCTATTATTTAGCATTGGACAAGATCAACAGGAAAGAATAGATCTGAATACAATAAGCTGAAAATATTTTGTTCTCTAATAAAAAGAATTATGCAGTGATTTGGGGCTCTGGATTAAAGTTTTACTGATTCAAATTCTAGTCATTGGCTAAGTAACTGTGGCCAAGTGATTGAGTCTCTCTGTAACTCTAAAGGCTCAGTCATAAAATGGAGGCAATAATACCAATATGCCATAAAATTATTTTGAGAATTAGATGTATTAATATATGTCTTTGGGGCAACCCATAGTAAGGCCTCAGTAAATATCAAAACCATAAAAATAGATGCATTTCTTTATGTCATGATTCTTGCAAAATATTTTATAGTTAATTAGCATTCAATCCTAGAGATAAGCACAATTTAATTTATCTTCAGATAGGATAAATTTTAGATTGTTGCCAATTTTTCATTATTTGCTTATTTTTGCAAATTAATTTAGAATTGCATTAACTCCCAATAAATTTTTTGGATTGAATTTGGAAATATATTTTTATTGAGTTTATTGGTACTTTTCAGGTATACAGAACAGCTACATTCATCATTGGGTTCTTGTACCTTTACATGATGTATCTTGTTTCTTATTTTTTCCCCATTCCCCTGCCCTCCCTTCACACCCTCCACCCTTCCCTATTTACAAAGGCTTTGTTTCCATTTTTCCTTTTCTCATATTAATTCCATTCACTACTTTCCTTTCCCCTACCCCTCCTATTTCCCCTTCCCCTTTGCCCCTTTTCTTCCCATTTCACATTATCTATTATACCTTTTAGTCCTTATTTACACTTTCAGTTTCTGACACTAGAGAAACTACTCATTGTTTACATATGTGTGTCTTATTTACTTCACTGTGCTACTGAAGATTTGTTCATAAAGTTTTTCCCTATGCCAATGTCTTCGAGGGTTCTTTCTAACTTATCCTCCAGCAAGCTTAGTGTTTCTGTTTTAATATTTACATCTTTAATCCACTTGGATTTTAGTTAGTGCATGGTGAGAGATAGGGGTCTAGTTTTAATCTTTGGCAAGTTGAAATCCAGTTTTTCCAACACCATTTATTAAAGAGGTTATCTTTCCTCCAGTGAGGATGGTTGGTTCCTTTGCCAAAGATGAGGTAGCTGAGTATGTCTGGAGTTGTTTCTGCATCTTATAATCTATTCCACTGATCTTCAGGTCTGTTTCTTTGCCAGTACCATGCTGTTTTTAGCACAGTGGCTTTGTAGTATAATTTCAAGCTGGGCATTGTGAAAACGCCTGCCATGTCTCTGTTTCCTAGAATTGTGTTGTTATTTTATGTCTCTTCTGAATCCATATAAATTTTTGGATTGTTTTCTCTAGTTCTGTGAAACACACTGTTGGAATTTCAATCGGGATTGCATTGAATCTGTATAGCAGTTTTGGAAGTATGGCTGTTTTCACTATGTTGATTCTTCCTACCCAGGAGCAAGGGAGGTCTTTCCATTTTCTTATATCCTCTTCAAACTCTTTTTTTTTTTAGAGTGGTATAGTTTTCAGTGTAGATATCTTTTGCTTACTTCATTAGATTGATTTCTAGATATTACATTTTTTGAATGCCATTGTGAAAGGAATTGTTTCCCTAATTTCTCTCTCAGTGAGTCTGTTATTTGTGAACAAGAAGGCTATTGATTTTTGAGTGTTGACCTTGTAAACAGATACTCTGTTGAATCTATCAATTAAGTCTAGAAGTCTTTTTGCTGAGTTGTTTGGGTCTTCTACATAGTGTCATATCATCAGCAATTAATGACAGTTTAACTTCTTCCTTTCCTATCTTTATTGATTTTATTCCTTTCTCATGTCAAATTGCTATGGCTAATGTTTCCAGAACTATACTGAACAGGAGTGGTGACAGTGGGCATCCTTGTATTGTTCCAAATTTTAGCATCATGGTTTTGAGTTTTTGGCCATTTAATGTGATGTTTGCTGCTGGTTTTTATTGATAGCCTTTATCAAGTTAAGATAAACACCATCTATTCCAATTTTTTGCAGTTTTAAAATGGGTGTTGAATTTTGTCAAATGCTTTCCCCGCATTTATTGAGATGATCATATGGTTTTTGTCCTTGACTTTGTTAACATAGTGTATTACATTTATTGATTTACATATGTTGAACCATCCTTGCATCACTGTATTATTTGGAATTATATTAAACATGCACATTTACTTAAGAGAGATGCTTTGTAAAGTCTAATCTTATTATCCAAGGACATAGCATATCTGCCTGCATAGGCAAATCTTTTTAAAATATGTCTCCAATATTTTTCATTTATTTTCATAAATAAATTTATGAAATTTATTTATGATTTAGCTCAGTGGTTCCACCACCAGACTCACAAGCACAAGGTTCTGAGTTGAATCCCCAGTACCAAAAAAAAAAAA